GGGGGGGGGGCAGGGGTTGTCCACATCTGTCAGAACCCAGAGTTTACTATTGCTTGCGAGTGGAAAAGATTGTTCAGATTGTTCACTTTGGATCACTCAGTTAAAATTTATTTTCCAAGTGCCTAGGTAGGGTCAAAACAGAAAATTTGTGTAAAATCTCCAAATATAAATCTGGCCTTTGTTGCTGCCATCTAGTGCCTGGCAGAAGAATTACACATGGATAACTTATAAATACTTATGACCCATGGAAGTTGGGCTTTTCACCTTTTTCTTCTGCGCACTTTGTTGTATTAAACTCAGCAGTTTCATTCTTTGATACAAACCATAGTAATAAATATTAAGCTTGGAGGTGATGATTTTGAATCAGGAAGGGCTGAAAAGAGTGCAGGTAATGAAATCATGTCTGCTGTCATTCTTCTGGGAAGCATATTTTTATTTTATTTTTTTTACTTTTAACTGTTCAGAACCATACATAGCTTTTATTTCTTTTGCTTTTTTGACATTTCAGAACTGATTTTAGGGTCACTGTCTTTTGTACATATCAACTGTAAGGTAATTAAATTTGGTCTGTATCTACTCAAAGAATAAACCTTATGGAAGGAATAATTTAAATAACAATATAGGTCTGCTATGAAATCCTATACTCAGGCAAGCTATGTTAGCATACAAATTATATGTCTTAGTAGTGTTGGTGTGATGTTGTAGACCACCTGTCACTCAGAGTAAATTTTCTACATGACACCAGATTTCCTCAACAAGATCTTGAGCCATCAACCACCTCCCCACAAGACAGCTATTCTTATAAACATGGATTTCACTAGCCCACACACTTAACACCACAACTGCCTACCTGAAATATGTGCAAGAACATGGACAACACTCACATTTGTAACCACAACATACTGCATAAATCATCCACTTCAGGTCTCACCCGCAATTTCACTTTCAACAGATGTTTCTTTCTCCAAATCACAGACACAGCTATGAGTCCAAAGATGGTTTCCCAATTTACCATCTTCTACTTTATGGTAGTTGGAAGAAGTAGAGAGAGTTAGTTAGCCATGTTAGTCTGAAGTCAGGCAGAAAGCAGAACAGATTTACACTTTACAGACTAACTAAATCAGCCTGGGATCATGAAAGCTTATGGTATACATCTCTGATTGAATCTATAAGGTGCAAATCTATCTAACCTCTTCATAAGTCTCCTAAAATAAGATTTTTTTAAAAATAGCACCACCAAACCTCTATTATACCATATAATCTGGACTTGCTTACTGACTTCCACCACAGGTTCAACAACTACTATTTCCTGATCAAATTTCTCTCTGGTACACTCTTACACTAACATCAGCTATTTGGATACCGTAATCCACATCCTACAAATGTGGCACCCTACAAACCACTATAAACAAAAAACCTCATGGACCACGATACTTACATCCACAAAACCAGTAATCATCCCAAACACACCAAGAAAACTATAATTTACAGTCAGGCCTTCAGATACCACTGCATCAGCTCTGAGGAGAATACTCATGACTCTCACCTTACCAACCTGAAAAATGCCTTTAACCAGCAACAGCACTCCAGCAGAGAAACAGATCATATCTTTGAAAGAGCCTGTCCCCTATACCCAATGCCTCACAGCAAATTACTACAATAAAAAAAGAAAATCCTTATTGACCACATATCCCTGGTAGTTTTCTACCATCCTACACCTGAGCAAATAAGAAGGATCATCAAACAAGTGCAGAACATACTCAAAAAATGAACAGACCTTGACCTTGAGAGAACTATTCCCAGCTCGCCTGCTCCTGGCTTTCAGACAGCCCCAAACCTTGCCCAAGTCATCATCAGAAGGAAACTCTTCTCTGATTGGCAGGCAACAATTGGGGCACAACCCTTCCTTAATAATAAATGCAAAACTGGTCAACTTATCTCTACTACCACAACAACTGACACCTCCTAAAATGAAACCATCTGAATTTATTGATCCTACATGTGTTTATTTTATAATGTGGCATACTTTATCCAGTGCATCAAATGCTCTCATGCAATCTACGTGGGTAAAGCTAGGCAAAAGCTACACATCAGAATGAATGATCACAGGAAAAGGATAAAAGAGACAGGCACACAAACATGGGTAGAACACTTTTCAGAAGACAACCACTCACTTTTCAATCTCACGATACTCTTGCTCGAGGGAAATTTACAAAACACCTTTAGAAGATGGGCATGGATACAACAATGTATAAATTCATGGAATACTAAAATCCAGGGAGTAAACACAGACATAGACTATATGGCTCATTATAACCTATCAGGATCCCTGCTAATCTTTCTGTACTCCAAAGGTGATAATGACTCTCTTTC